ATTATATTCTCTTGAGCAAGACATTTAAGGTGAACTGCTTTTTAACATTGTACCAAAGATCAATCGAGAACGTTCAAATTGTTAGATATGAAAAGTTAAGGACATTGCAACTGACCAAACAAAACATTTGTATTTTATATGGTATATATCGTATCAACATCTTTAATAGAACATGCAAGGATGAAGGTAAAAACTTTCACCAATGAAGCACCATTCTGTCGTAATTCTTTTTTCAAATTATATGAAATTTATTATAAAATATTTTGAATGATGCAATCCTATGTGAAGATCCTTCTATGATATACAGTAAAGCCTCATTTATCCGGACGCTTTGGTTCCTAGTATTTGTCCGGATATGTGAAGCGACCGGGTACCTGAATTATCAGTTAAACAAGACAAAATAAAGTTTAAAAATTCTGTTCCGATGAAAAATCATCCGGATACTGAAGCGTACGGGTATCTGGCGTCCGGATATCTGAAGGATCACTGTAGATAAATCATTCGGGATAAGAAAATAAAATTAACAAAAGTTTAGGGATTTTAAATACTCAAACTAAACGGTTTGAACTGTTTTAGAAAAAAGAATAAAAAATCATTACGAAAACTTTGGTATACCATAACAATCCCTTTCAAAATGATTGCCCAAAATCAAGACTTGTAAAATGGTATAGTATAAAGCCCCAGTAACAATATGAAATTCATTATTGCTATTTAGTTATAGAGGCTAAATAGTTCATTGTTGGTTTAAACTGTAATTCTAATATTAAAACCAGTAGTTAACATGTAATTTTGACAAGCATTGTTCTATCAATTAATATTTTACTCATATTGTGAATTTATATTATTTTTTGTTCATGCTTACTCATCCAAGGCACCTGATCCCACCTCTTAAGTTTTAGAGGTCCGGATTTGCTATATATAGATGGAGATTTGAGCTGGAATACTGTTTGCTATCTCATTTTTTCTGTTACATTTTACAGGATTTTTGTATCACGACATTAGGAAATAACAAACAGTAATGAAGCTTAAAGTCAAGTTCAAGCAATACAGATCACAAGCAGAGGAGAAACAGCCTCTTTTCATCTCAGAATGGAAGGATATATTTTCCATCGCCTGTCATGAGCAGAAAAACTCTTTACAAGTATGTGCATACAAAACCCCAAGGTTTCAAAGGAATTAGGCATAAGGAATTTCACATTTCGTTGTCTTTCATATTAAATGTATTTGCTTACTTTTCTGTTGAATTTTACTTACATACTTATCAAGAAAAATTACACCAGATTAACTTAAGAATTCAAATTTTTTATACCATTAAAATATAGCTATTCCTCATCTGAAAGATGTTTTTAATATATACAATTAGTGTACAATCACACTTATTCACAATGGTAGTGCTCGCAATCAACACGTCTCGAAATATGTATATTTGAGACAACACGGACATAAATGTTTGTTGTGAATGCTTAATGTTATTCTAGTGTGCTTTTTTGGAATAGATTGAAAACAAGATTTAAAAAAATAGTTTTTGTTTCTATTGAACGACAATGACAGGAATTTCCTTAACCTCACCTGTTTCGACTTGAAGCTGAACCAGACATAAATCGAGAAATAAGAACGTGTTAGTTGTTTATACATAAGTTTATATATAAGTCTTCATAGAAACTGAAGTGTAAACGAATGTGATATAAAGGCCAACATCTTAACAAAATGAATATTATAAAAATCAGGAGATGAATATTATTTCATTTAATTGTCCTACACATCTTTACAGAAACATTTTGTAGTAAATTATGTGGAAACAGGTTTGTTTCTATTGCTTATGTCGATGCATAGATCACGATTGGTTTAAAATGATCATATAAAACAATGTCTTTATCTTGAAGTCTTATTTTAAATGTTTACAGATGCTGTGATAACTTTTACCGAGGTCCGGACGGGGATTGTCTTGGTGAGCTCAGTTATCTTCTATATTTGTTTACCTAAAACATACAAATAAAAAAAGAATCATAATCATTTTTATATTTATTTATAAAAACGTTATCATTTAAGCTTATATGTACATTAGGGAAGGAAAAATTCAACTATTTCTAAGCCACGTTTTTTTCTTATCTTCATTTTGCCATAACAAACTTTGTCCACTACCCTTTACTAACCTTATACAGGCATCAAAACAGACAACGCCTATCAACTTTTCTGTTACGCACCTTTTATTTCTATTGGGTACTGACATTACATAAAAACCTTTCAGGAAAGGAGAGTCGTTTATTTCACTTATATACTGATATTGACAACACTTAATGTGCAGAATCAAACTTCTTTAGAAAGGAAATACTCTTTAAGACAGGGTTATAATAGAAGTGAAAATCAGTGGGGGATTCTAAAACATGCAAACTTACCTCCTCGCAGCACTGTATAGAGGATTATATTTGCCCTTTCACACTTGCAAAGAAATTTTTTCTGTCTTTGTCCAGAAATAATTGTACTTAAGGTCAAGATCTAGTAAATAACTTTAGACTAACTTTTTGGTGCTAGATCCATTATGACGTCATAATCACTTTCAACTTTCTTTTTCCCGTACTTTACGGCTCTAATAGAATTATGTAGAAAATAAAGTATTTTCATGGAATTCAATTTGAAATAACCTGAAAAGTAGTCCGGATACCTATATTCAATTTAACATTATTTAAAAGAAGAGACCAAGAACATACAAATTACCGTTTTCTGAAAGACTGTAGGCAATCTGGATATATTTTGTTTGTGTGATATGGAAAAAACTCCCATATTCATGACTAATTTTCTTAATTTTTCATTGAAAATGACAGTTTAAAATATGGTTTTTCATCTTATTTTCCTACAAATTATGCCCCGAAACACATTTTTTGACCAAGCTAAAGTTATTAAGCATCATTAAAGGAATTCATTTCTTGAATTTGATAAATCTGTAGGCCCCCTTCATTTACTAGATCTTGACCTTAAGAGAGAATGATGTCTTTCTTGAAGTCGTCATGTTCTAAATTTGCTAGCTTGCGACATGGGCAAAGGGAACGAAAGTATAAAGGGAACCAGAAATTGTATGCAGCATTTTTAGAATGGCTTTTTATCACTAAGATTTCTAATTTCAGTGGTTAAAAACTTTTACCTTTGATTATAAAGAATCAACAGTTAGAAATCCCATGTGTGCTTTTAAGTTTTAAATTTTTTTGTGACTAAGTTTTGCAAAAAAATCTGTTTAAACTCGGATTTGTTCAAACATATTCTCTTTACTTCACCTTTAAAACACCTTGTATTTCCTACATCGACCATTGCTTCCAAACTTTTCAATTACAAAAACACTTTACATGGCCTGGATACCGAGTATCTGAAACGTAATCCTCCTTTGTGTTCATGTTCTTTTTCGCCCTTTAACTATAGTCCTGCAGGACACGTTATTACAGGTGACGTAAATATAGTTAATAATGAGAACCTTAGATCACTTATTTTAAATGTTTCTAAATAAAGGAAGCCCCGATCCTTCAACTTGCGTAGGAATTTCATAAATATTATGGATTCTGTTGAAAATTACTCCAGACGACGGGCCAGATATGAAAAAGAGGAGGTTGACACCTTGTCAGTATGGATTAAATGTATCAGATTCATGTTAAGGTCACGTATTAAAAGTTTGAGGGGCAATATGAAAACCATCTATCCTTCTGTGTTCAATAAACCAGAAGTGAAAAAACAATGACATGATCAGTACGTACTGGTTCCTGTCGACAAAGCAGGTAACAACAGTGTCTTTGTTTGTAAGGCTCATTAAAGAAATTGTATTCTAGAAGAACTACCGTGTGCTAATTGTCATGGTCAGGAATTAACTGGAAACATCGTCGTCAATTCAGTGAATGAATAATGGATTAACAATTAGTTTGAAAAACGCCAGTCGGCATTTGACTTATTGGTAAATTGTATTTGCTGACAAGGTCATTGTATCGATCACAAAACTCACAAAAATGATGGTTTTAAACGAAACTAAAAAGTTTATATTCTTGTAACACCAACGTCTTTGATACAACTTGTCTCGTCTCAGAAATGGGAATTTAGGAGTGTTTGCCTTTGCGTATCAAATTCGGTGAGAGATAAAAAAATCCTAAGCCTGTATCCAGGTGATGATTGTTTTTGCTGCCACCGTAATGTTAATTGAAGAATGAACAATTTAAGACGTCACGTTTATTATACAGCTTTGTTGTTAGATTACCATTAACGTCTATATCTTGTAAAATATCCAAATACATGTATGAGAAAGATGTGTCAAACTTTGTGGTTTCTTTTTTTCTAAATTATTGGGATAAATTACATATAGATTATTAGATAGTGATTTGAAATAGCCATTAGAAATTGACAATACGTGGTTGATATATCTAAATGTCGATTTATGGACCCAGTTAGTGCTCTCTTCTTGCTTTGTGTGCGATGTCGGGATTCGCCGTGTTATTTAAGTTGATTAAATAGTTATTAATATATGTATTAAATAAACAAAATCACCCAAAGCAAACACACAATCTCTTAAAATAAAAAGGAGCGTAATGTACTGGAAGGAAACTAATTGGGTTCACACCCACTTTATACAGGGTCGAAACAAATTGCAGAAATATTCTCAAAAACTATCAACGTTGACCAATTATTTTTAATCGGCATTTGAGCATGAATACTGTTCGTTATCTCAATATATTTCATGTTCTTCCTTAATCCTAAGCCATAAAAATAGTAAACGGCACCATCCGCTATGTAAATAAGTTTGAACTGAAACTCGTTATCAATTACAAAGGGAAGAGGAACAAATTTCGGAAAATGGGAAGTGTTGATTCAGGTTGAAATGTGGGACCTGTTCTGCAAATACCTATGACTTTTATGTTAATGTCGAGTTCTAATCAGTTTCAAAGTATCGTAATGGAGAAAATAAGGAGACTGATATGGTGTAATTTGGTTGTCTTGCACATCTGTGTAAAGACTGGTTTAAGTGCAAAATGTGGAAACAGGTAAGTCTAAATTTGAAAGAATACTACAAGAGTGTTGTTTGTGATTCATGAATAATGCAATATGACAAAGTCTTTCCTTTAAATATTGTCTTTTCTATACTTTTACAGCTGCTGTGTTAATTTTTACCAAATTTCGAGCGGCTCCTGCATTGGTGAGAATAACACGAGTGTAAATTTTTAAATACTGTCTACACAAGAAAAATTTCACCCCTATTTAATTTTGTCCCTTTCGTCCTATTCATGTTTGGGCGAATTTAAAACGGGAGAAATTCAAAGAACACAGCATATTGTTTGAAAGGGCGGAAATAACACAGAGCGAAAAAAAAATCTTGTATACTTAAGGAATCTTACTGTCTAGTTAGGAGGCTATGCCAGTGCATCAACAATAGTGGGAAACATGGGATAACTAGACGGTGATTCTTTATATTTCCATTTTTACTTGAAATAACAGTCTTAAAATAAATCGGAATACCGTCTAATTTAGTAGATTTGAAATAAATGAGGCATTCCATGTTATTCTCCATAGCCCCGCCCCATGACGTCAAATGTTACCATTAAAAATAGTCCCATAAAACACGAACCAACAATAACCAAATTTAATGATTATTTAGCTGCTGTAGCCAAATATCATAGAATAAACAATAAAATTTTAAATTATGATCAAAGCAATCTTGTTTTATTATATATGTGACCTAGATTTAGGTTGTCGGAAGCAAGAACACGTGTGTAATTACCTAGTAAACAATTAAACAAAACATCTATTTTTTCTTCAGTGTATTTATACGCCAGTCATATACCATACGTATACATGCATGTTGACATTTGTCCTTTCAGTAGTTTTTCAATATAGAGAAATGTACATGCTACATGAATTACGAAAAAATTAACAAGATTCACTTTTGTAGTGTTTATCATTTGTAAAACAATTGGAAATGGAACTATTGTAATTCAAATCTGGTTGTAACAAACTCTTTGATTGGCTGAAAATTGAATTTATATAGTATAACCTGGGATGTCAACATCAAAATGCTTGTATTAAAACGTCAATCCGATTGACGTAACATAAGTTTACATAAAATGCATAATAAACTTTTTAAATAGAAGACCTCTTCTTTTTAGGCTGAGAATAAGATAGGAATGTTTATATATCATGGCATCATTTACATAAAAAACTAAGTTTGTTGTTGTCTTGTTCCGGGGTGGACCAACTTTTATCATTTTACCCGGGGAAAAAGGTTTTCTGGCAAGCATTAAAATAACAATTTTTCACTCCAACTTTGTAGCCCTTTAAGACCCCGATATCTTTATTGTAGAGTGCCCCCTGGGAACTTATGGAGTTAACTGCATGGGAAAATGTGTCAGAGGGTTTTACGGAAAACTCTGTGAGTCAGCGTGCGACTGTCCTACTGAAAGTTGTAACGCAAGCTATGGCTGTCTAAATGGAATTACTGGTAAATTCAACGTAATTAACGTTATTAAGTTATCTATGTCTTTAAAATGAGAGTGTGTGTTGTTCTATATAACATTGCTTGCACATTATCACAGCTAATTCAAATAAATCGTCAAAATTGTATGAAATTTAATTCACATTCCACTTAATAAAGTAACATTTTTTCTTCCACAATCTTTCTACGTAATACTAATCGAACATTTTGATATTGATGAACAAAATTAAAATATTGCTACTCATGATAAATTACAAATGTATGTTACTTCTTATACAGTTGATAATTTTGTATTCAGAGGAAGGTAAAGGCAGCATCAATGAGTGGGTTGACTTCACGTATGCTTTGATAGGATCCGTTACCACAGTTTCTATGAGCCTAATTTGTCTGCTGTTTTTTCTTAAGTCATGGTAAATATAAATAATGAATACTGAAATATTATACAGTGTTTTCCTTAATTAAAACTAAAACTGAGGAAAAAAGATAGTATCTTAATTCATTTTATCCTTTTAATTAGATTTTTTTTTGCATTTGTTGTTATGAAAAAGGATTAGTTATTCTTAATGTTTTGTATACCTTTCCTGTAGGTTATCAAAAACAAATGTGTCATCTACGGAAACAAATCAGCTTTGTACAGATCAGACTGGTATGATCATGAAATGTTAAAAAAGTAAAAAAAATTTACCAGTAATAATTCTTAAAAATATCACTGATAAATAAATATTCGTGATTGACATAAAATAAAACTGTAATTGTAATAATTAAATCTTACTGACACAATTTTTAAATATTTCTCTGACCTGTAGAAAGATAACAAAAAATATTTTTTTGTTATTCATAAAACTAATGAACAAAGTAACACTTCGTGTTCAACAGATAATCCAGGAGAGCATGACAATGAAAGTCGCAGTTCATCGTCAAATGCGAATGAACCTGTTCTGCAGAGAACACCAACTCATAGCTACACAGGTCTGAGGTTTTCAAGAATGCAGCCTCTTTATGACAACTCAAAGGACTATGAAAGTGTCCCGGAACAAGATACACCATCTGTTGATTCTCTTCCATCTCACAAACTTAGGAATGATGACGATGGTGAAAGCAAAGGAGATGGCAAATATGAAGGATTGTTTAAAAATAAAGCGTACAATATTCTCTCTCTCCGCATACATCCTCTTGACAAAGCAAAGACCCTGCGATCAGTTGATTCTTCAATTAATCTTTGGGACAATATGGACGGAATGGAAGATGAATACGAATCGATCGAAGTGAAGGAGGATAACAAGGAGGAATGTGTGTCTGAGAGGAGGATGGTTAAAATTCATCCCACTGGAAAATACGTTTGTGGAGAATATTCAACAGATGGAACTTTGAAAGATTATATAGGAAATGCTCAAATGAATAAAAATTGTGACATGATAGTTGATAAGGAGGCGATATCACAAAGTTTTATCGCCCATGAGCTTGATTGTACCAAAAGTTTCTCTCCACGACCTTATAGCTTAGCAAATAGTATCTGGCGTAAACATCACACTTCTGAAATGTCGAAACAACTTAGAATATCAGATTATGAAAAAGTTTTAACATTACAGACAGGTGAAGAAAATTTTGTAAATGATAGAATATTCTCAAAGACTGATACGCAAATTATCACTGAAAGTTCTGCTGACCCAATGATGTCGGAAGTATCAGGGAATAATGAAAATAAAAATCCACTAAAGCTCAATAAAAACAAAGCAATGATTTTCAAGGAAGCATATGAAAAAAAGTATTAATTCAAAAATGCATATAAATCTCTTACAAGAGGGAAGACAACAGATCCAACCTTGATCCTTTAGATGAACACAGGTGTAGAAACATTGTAATGACTCCAGTATTCTGAAAATAAAGCTGTAAAATGAGTACTTTTTATAAATTACAGCAGAGGAATTAATAAATTTAATATCACATTAAAATATAATCAAAATATGCTGATTTTGTTTGTTTGTTAGAATGTTGTCTCTTGAGAATTTTTTTTTACTCACATGGAGAGGCCACCACTTCCAGGTGGAGAACCTTGCAAATTTTGTCCAATACTTGGCGTGATGACTTTAACTTTTCTATCGCCAACTTCCCTTACTTATGCAGCAATATACCTTCATCACCTGCATACGGAGTATATATATCTCAGTTGATTCAATACGCAAGAGCATGCTGTACGTATGAACAATTTCTAAAACGAGGTAAATTATTGACAAGCAAGTTGATGAAACAAGAATATCAGCAGTTTCGTTTAATGTCATCATTTCGTAAGTTCTATGGTCGATTCAATGACCTTGTCAGCAAATACAATTTATCACTGAGTTAAATGCTGACTTTTTTCGTACCAATTGTTAGTCCATTTTTTATACACTGAATTGATTTTTTCCCTTATTTCCTGATCATGACAAGGAGCACACGGCGGGTGTGACCGGTCGGCAGGGGATGCTCACTACTCGATGACACCTGATCCCACCTCTGATGTTTCGGGGGTCCGTGTTTGCTCTGCTCTTATTTTGTATTGTTTTATGGACTTTGAGATTGAATACTGTTCGTTATGTCCATATCTTTCTTGGCACATACAGCTATTGAACGGGAGGGACCTTTTTTCATGTCAGTACCTACTGCAACACGAAATCTCAGTTTAAACGGTCTTACCCGAAAGACCCGATCGCCACGTAAGCATCACTTCCTAACATTTTGATTCTAGAGCACATCTAACCACTGCCCCACTCGGGCGACAGCTATATTTTGAAATTTTATAGGATTTGCAAGCAGAAATATTAAATTAGACATGCACTACATTTATATTTCTGTGTTTATTTATATTTTCCACATACTGTGAAATTATTAACGGTTAAGCTTTATTTTGTTTAATTTTATAAAAAAAAAAATATAAAAATACAAGCAGTTACCAAGTTTAAAATCCATTGAAGTAATGTAAATCGGAGACGAGTAAGGACAGACTCTTATTTATATCCAAATGAAATTCTTTATTTTTCCAGGGTCTCTTACTAAAGAAAATAAAAGATTTATCATTTTGTTGTGTTTTATATTTAAAATATGTATTTACTTTTCTGGAATATTTTATTCATAGAATTGTTTAGAATACCACATAATAACAAATAGTCTAACATATCTGTTTCATACTTGGATATTTTAATTGAAAAAGTCGCTAATGGTTATTTGGCAACCAGGCATCTGGCAACAAAGCTTTATGATAATCGTGATGACATTTCTATCGTCAACTTTCTTTACTTATGCAGAAATATACCTTCATCACCTGCATACGGGGTGTATATATGTCAATTGATTCGATACGCAAAATCATGCTCTACGTTTGAACAATTTCTAAAAGGAGGTAAATTATTGATAAGGAAGTTGATGAAACAGGAATATCAGCAGTCTCGATTAAAGTAATCAGTTCGTAAATTCTATGGTCGATATATTGACCTTGTCGGTAAATACAATTTATCATTAAGTTAAATGCTGACTGACGATTTTCAAACTAATTGTCCATTATTCATACGTTGAATTGACGACGGATTTGTGTGGCACAAAACATTAAACTGTATAATGGCATATCGTGCATCTATGAACTCAATAAAGAACAAGATGCAAGTCACCGGAGCTCTCACATGAAACATTTCTTCTTGATCATTCCACCGTTTGTATTTTTACAAATGCTAGAGGTCTTGTGCTGAAGGCATGCTGACGCCTTCAGAATAAAGCTAGAGTTAGAAATTTTGCAGTTCTTAATTCATCGGAATGATCCATTGACCGTACCTGTGATTTTTAGGGATATATCCTGGCAGATCCTTGGAATATGTCAACAGGAAACAGGAAATTACCAGGAAGCCCTGAATTCATTCCAGCAATCCCTTAAGGAATATCCCTTCCACGGGATTCGACAAGCTACGTGTGAGAGAATTCTGAAACTCTTGCCATACACTTTACGGTCAGTAGACCAATTATAGCGATGCATTCAATGACAATTGAATGTGTGTTAGAAGACTTTGTTTAGTTCTGATAGTATTGTAACGTTTAAAATAATTTATGCCAGTATGTTAGCAATAGTTTGTTATCCTCTATGAACATCTCAACTGTGACACACCTGGAATATCGTCCACTTTCTAATGATTTTTTTAATCCCATAATTGCAAATGAAAAATTAAGTGGATCGAGCTTATTAGGCATTAGTATAAGAGTATTTAAATTTGCACATTTGTTGTGTTAATCTGCTATACCACCATTGTACGAAGGCTGATCAAAAAGCCCGCGATCTATCTCTTTATTTACAAAACCACTATTCAGGTCAGAGTAAAATATAGCACAAATTAAAAATGATCAAAACGATGTCTTAAAAAAAAGCAGATGCTACGTAACGTTTGTTTCATTTTTGTGACGTCACAGTATGAAAATGACATCAATATGTAGGTGACTTGTGACAAGAAATGGAGGACTCATTCGTACTAAAGCAACGAAAGGCTGTGTTCATGTAATGTATATCTTGGAAATTCCTTTGCAGTAACATATGATGTGTACAAGGTTTATGAAGTCAAAAGTATCTTTAAATGGTGGCTAGAAAAATAATCAGCACTTTTCAAAATGGAGCTGCAGTAAAATATCATATGCTGAATTCCTTTTAGAAAGGCGTGAAAAGTCGACTTTCTTCTTGAAGTTGGATGATCTTTCAACCTGATTATATTGTCTTTATCTTTTGATGAATACAACCCAAAAAGCAGAAAAGAATCTCAAATTATACGAACAACCAATGCAAAGATGTTTTTATGTTTCAAATATTTACTTGCTTTTGGAATAACATGAAATTGTTATTCCGTGAAAACCACTGTTGACTAAGGCGAAGCTAAGGTCAATAGTGTTTTTAAGGGATGATACAATTTATTTTATGATTAAATACCCTAATTCTCTAATTAGCTTAGATTCGATATTGTGCAAGAGGAAATCATGCAAACTCAACTATATTCACTTAAGCAAGACTTTCAAGGTGATTTGCTTTTTTACATTGCATCAAAATCAATCGAGAACATTCAAATTGTTAGATATGAAAAGTTAAGGTCACGTGCAACTAACCAAACAAAACATTAGTATTTGATATGGTATATACCGTATCAACATCTTTAATAGAACACGTAAGGATGAAGGTAAAAACTTTCTGTAACCGAGCAGTAACAAGACCAGGTCACTTTTAAATCTTTATTAACAGCAATAAACGACAATGGCATGTGTCTATAAAAAGAATATACATAAATTATAACAAAATAAAATGAAAATAATAAATTATGAGAAAAAATAACAAGTTATGAAAAAAGAAAAGCATTTCAATAGCAAATACCTTTACGGACAGCACGGCCTCGAGAAGTGTGACCTTGAAAAACTGGCTGGCGGGACAAGTAATTTCAATCGAACATGAGTATTTATACCCAGACCAACTGCGCAAGTGGATTGAGTTGATTTTAAAAATACGCCAGTCAGGAATGAGATTACAAAGAGTGGTTCGACAAAAGCCTTTACAAAATATAAGAATCATACTCACTAAATTCAATAATCAAATAAGAAATAAGTTAACAAAAGTGAGTACGGTATTAGCCTAAATAAATATATGAATTAAAATATGTAATTACTATAGTACTTGGTCACACACTCCCCGGCCAAAAAAAAATTGGGCTGTCCTCAGCACAAGTAATAAAGTAGGTAATATATCATCACCTGAAAAGCAAAACGACGCAGCTTTTACGTGCAAAAATATATACAAAAATCCTTTCCCAGACACCTGCTAAATGCAACATGGCTCATTCAATTGTTACCATAAATAATGCCTGGAAAAATCAGAATTTAATGCATTAAATCTGAAAAACATTCAAAATCATAACATATAATACATATCACTCTCAACGTTCACTTTCATAGAACAATATATTCCAGAAATATAGATACATCACAAAGAAAATTTCCTGATTTCGGATCGATTCACAACTTTTTCAACACATGGGTTTTTCACTTGTGCAACACGAAACACAGAAGAATTTTGATAAGGAATTCCAGTAACCACGTAAGGAACATCACTCCAATTATCCTGAATTTTATGACGTTTCCGGAAGTTACGATTTCTAAGATACACATTGTCGCCAACGGAAATTTCTGCATTTGTGATGCGTCTGTCATGGGATTCTTTCCTCGTCTCTGCATTTTGTTTGGTTTCTTGTAGTGCACGTTGATACGCAAACTGAATTTTTTCTTTATGCTGTTGAATCCATCTGTCCAAGTCCTGTGATTGACTTCTGTAATCGTTCCCCGTTGGTCTCCGTAGTTTGTAGTCGTTCAGTCCTCGGGATTTACGTGCTTTCCCATTGCCGTTTTAAGTGACTGCTCGCAGCGCCATATGTAACCGAGCAGTAACAAGACCAGGTCACTTTTAAATCTTTATTAACAGCAATAAACGACAATGGCATGTGTCTATAAAAAGAATATACATAAATTATAACAAAATAGAATGAAAATAATAAATTATGAGAAAAAATAACAAGTTATGAAAAAAGAAAAGCATTTCAATAGCAAATACCTTTACGGACAGCACGGCCTCGAGAAGTGTGACCTTGAAAAACTGGCTGGCGGGACAAGAAATTTCAATCGAACATGAGTATTTATACCCAGACCTACTGCGCGAGTGGATTGAGTTGATTTTAAAAATACGCCAGTCAGGAATGAGATTACAAAGAGTGTTCGACAAAAGCCTTTACAAAATATAAGAATCATACTCACTAAATT